TGAAGCCTTGGGCCTGGCCGGACTCGCCGTGGAAGAGGGCACACGTCGATTATTTTGAGCCATCCCAGGGCCATATGGTTTGGGTGGTAGTTGACGCCCACACTAAATGGATTGATGCGATTCCGACTGGAAATTCTTGTTCTTCACTGACTATAATCAGCAAGTTGCGAACCGTTTTCTCTACTTTTGGGATACCTGAAATGCTCGTTTCAGACAATGGCCCGGCCTTTAGTTATGCAGAATTTCAAGATTTCATGGAGAACAATGGACTTAGACAGTTAACTACTACCCCCTTATCACGCTGCTTCTAATGGTCTCGCAGAGCGTGCAGTCCAGACAATGAAGCACGGACTAGCCAAACAGACGGTAGCGGACTTGTCCACCAAGTTGTCACGATTTCTGTTCAGCTATCGCATAACACCAAACGATTCAACTGGCGCTTCGCCTGCAGAATTGATGTTCAAGCGGCAGTTGCGCACACGACTCGACCTGCTTAATCCATCAACGCATGATAGAGTCATTGCAAAGCAGACGAAGATGAAAGCACGATATGATGGGAACACCCGACCACGAGTCGTCGCGCCTTACGAATGTGTCTACACGCGACTGGAACACGAAACGAACTGGTGTCCAGAGGTAGTTCGAACAAGCGGGAGGCAAATAGTGGAATTAGAATTAGAAGATGGGGGAATTGTGCGTCGGCATCTGGACCAAGTTCGCAGCCGAGCGGACACACCAAGTGGAGAGTCCGGAAAGTTCGAACTGCCAGCAACCCTTGATAGGGATCCTGTTAGGGATATGTTCCTCCTCCTCCTCCTCCTCCTCCTGCCCCGGCCAGCACTAGCTTAGGGGCAGAGGAGTCAGTGACTGCACAAAGCGGCACAGAGGTAGAAAATACCGCCCTGAGAAAATCGACCCGAATCTGCAAACCTGTCCAATGCTTTCAGGGCGAATCTTATTAGAACATTGTCTAAGTACCCACTTTTACCTTTACTGTCCCCCCTCCTTCCCTCCTCCTCATGCTCTCCACTTTAGGGTTGAGGGATGTAGCGTATCCTGTCCGGGCCGTCAGGGCATCATGCCACAAACGCGTGACAAGCGAACGATCAAGGTCATGACCCCTGTTCACACCTTCTTTGTGCTGATTGGTCACCCATCAGCCTATGACAGTTCCCCTTGCCATTTGCCCGACTGTTTCCGCAAGCCTCCTCACTTGTGTTGTTTATCGTACTCAGTACACGTCTTATTTTCAATTCCTCTTCTGTTTTGCATACATAACAGGTGTCGTGTACATCGATTTCCGCAAAGCCTTCGATACTGTTTCGCACCAACGCCTTGTTCACAAATTAAGCGCCATCGGTATTCGGGGCGACCTTCTGAACTGGATAAGAACGTTTCTGGTTGGTTGGATACAACATGTCTGTATCGGAGATGATATGTCAGAATGGATGAACGTGACCAGTGGTGTGCCTGAAGGCTCAGTTCTGGGACAACTGCTCTTCATCCTTTATGTTATTGACAGCCTTCTTGAACTCGACTGTGACAGAATAATGTTTGCCGACGACGTTAAGCCCTGGCAAATCATTAAGAGTCCTTACGACCAGAGAACCCTCCAAAACAATCTGCATAGACTACAAGCGTGGTTGGAGAAATGGCTTCTGGATTTCAATGTGCAGAAATGTGCCGTCCTTCACCTGCTTCCGGCCAACTCCCATTTAAATGAGAGCATAAGGACATACCACCTGAATGCTATAAGACTCCCCGCAGAATCTTCACAAAAGGATCTCTAGGTTTAGATACAGAACTACCTGAAACCAACACTGCAGTGCGACAAGGCTGCAAAAAACGCCATGGAAGTGCTTCATGAGATTGAAAACGGCGTTCGTAACCTTTGACCAAGACCTTTTTGGAAGGCTTTACGGCACCTTCGTTCGGCCCCATTTAGAATATGGCCTACAAGCATGACGGCTATGGCCAGTAAAGGACCAAGCATGCCCCGAACGTGTACAACGTCGTGCAACAAAGCTGGTAAACGGTCTAAAAAGCCAATCATACACAGGCAGACTGAATTGCTGTAATTTATTCACTCTGTGTTACAGGCAGCAAAGAGGTGATCTTATCCTCGTCTACAAGATAATACATGGGCTTGAGCATGGACTTAGCTTTGATGACATGTTTCAGTGGCACCTTTCACCCAATCTTCGTGGTCCCTCGGTGAAGTTACGGACAACAATGTCCAGGCTGAATCTTCGGTCAGAATTTTTCACGCAGAAGGTAGTGGAGAAATGGAACGATCACCCTCAGTCAGTCGTGGAGGCTACGTCTCTGCAACTCTTCAAGAAACGCTTGGATAATTATTCGTGTCCCCTGTTTTCCCTCGACAGTCTGAATGTGAAGTACATACCGCACGGTTCTGCAAATATTTTCTCTGAGGCAATGCTACTCAAATGACTCAGGCACTAATTTAATAGCGAATATTTTCATTTTTCCTGTACAGTTATTTCTAACGAGCTGACGTGTAATTAATAGAGTTTTCAAAGGCTTTGCTTATTATCCTTACCAAATAAACGGAAATAAACCAAAGAAGTCATGGGTATGGGGAATAGGATACTGATCTGCGACGGTAGTTTTCTGGATGCGCGAAAGTCTCCACATGGTCTTCAATCATCAGCCGATTTCTTAGAGACCACATGAAATAGAGAATCTCTTGGGGTGGAAGAAGGCGGAGAATCACTATATGTTTGAATTATTTTCTCGCTATTCAGAAATCTATGGGATGAAGCCTAGACGAGTGAGCGTGTAGGGGTTTGAGGTATTGACGACTAGGAGGCTGCATGGTATTTACTCTGGCACCAGTATCAATAAGAAAATGAAGACTTCTTGGGTTTTCATTGATAAAAAGCGGCGCCTGGGTCGTGACAGGCTAACAACAGTCATCGCTACCAATAAATGACGTGGTGTTTTGGTTACAGTGACGCTTGTCGTAGTGTGAAGTTTGTAGTGCACTTACATACTTCCGGATCAAAGGTACAATAATGCCATCGCACAGTTTGAGATCGCCGTTCACGTGACTTAAACGCTGGCGTGGACATGAGTGGTTTGGAGTCGACTGTAAACTATTTGTAGCAGTACATATGATGCACTTATTGGGTACACATAAGGCATTACATTCTTTGATCATGTCTGCGTGTTTGGCAATTTCCTCCGAAGACGTGCTTGTGTTCAGCATGGGCAAGACTTGTAGCATAAAAATCGGTAACTAACCTATCCGGATGTCTTGAAAAATTTCGCCGTCTATATGACGACCGGCAAGCAAAGGACGTATATGTCGCATAAGCTGAGAAGGTATATAGACACCAAATTAGACTTGGGTGAAAATTTCCCTAAGCATCCGTTTCACATTTGGCCACACACACATAATCGCTGCGCTTTCCACCCGAGTGCAAAAGTCGTCTGCTGAAACCGGGTCAAGGAGAACCTCGACATTAAGAGCGACGCCGAATAAAACATGTTGCATAACGTACGAGTAACGAGTGCATATGCTGGTGATACGCCATGTAGAGAAAACGGCATTCATTTGCCTAAATCATATGCAGGGGTTACTCGCCATGAATCGAAACTGTTTCAGTGAGAGGATATTGGCGTATGGAACTTAAATAAGAGGGTACGCAAATGTAGAAAAATGATGACAACACTTTCGAGGTGAAAACAACAATAGCATCAAGAAGAACTTTACTCTAAGTGGGGTACGTCGAGCATCATACAAGAAAGTGTCAGCGAAAACTATGAAAAAAATCGCGAAAAGTGAATATTTGTACAGACTCACGGAAAATGAAGCCCACCTCCAGTGGTAGTTGCTATAGCGTGAAGGATATTCCGGATAAAACCCAGAAAGTTCTTAGCTCATGTCAGTTAGTAGATCTTTTTGTTCAGATAAATTTCAGTCAGGCGAGATATAGCAGAGTAATAGAACTGGTTACAGTAAATGGTTAAAAAGGATCAAAGCACATAACCGTAATCAATGAAACGATGACACCACGCATCACGAGGACACAAAACGCACGTTGACGTTAGCTGAAATAAGTTGTGTGTGTATTTTGGAATAATCAGACAGCGCTACAGAAAAGTTTAGGTTTACGAGAAAATTTGGACAGAAAAATTGAAAGTATACATAGACTTTTAAGTGAAAATAGGGATTAATAGCTGTGGAATATTGAAGCAGAATCCAAAATTTCCTTTCCCTTGATAATTGACCTGCGCGTCCCGCCACTGATGACAATGGGGCGCGACTAAACAGTGTTCCTCCATAATTCCCTTTGTGCATTTTGGTATATGTACATCGCGCTTCCCCTGTTGACACTTACAGTTTCCTCGAAAATTATTGCAACAAAGTGCAGTGAGGCTTTCGAAATAAAGTCTTTGGAAACCACTGATGCACCCTTCGTAGTTACGTCACTCACATGACACAACTGCGCCAGATCGGTCGGACATGTTTCTGGGATTCTTGGCGCCTAAGGGCGAAATAGGGATTTAAAGAGTTCAAACTTAAATTTATTTTTAATAAAACCTAACTGAACTGCTGAATCTGTCAGTCATCACAACTTTCCGATGAGCGTAGGCAATATTATAGTCGAAATCATACTTAGTGACTTTCGAGGGCTTCGAATTTAATGTCGAGAATAGTGAGATGTGCCCCAGTTGGGATTATTGTTGGGTTTTCTTGTTTTATTTTATTCCTCTTTTCCCGTTGCCTTACGTGTTCTTGCACTCTCTCAACTTGATATGCACCCACAGATCCACACTGAGAGTACCAGAAGAACCAGGTTCGATTTTAACTGTGATATTTTAAGTAGAAACGTCACCAAAATGTCTCAGCAAGCAGTGAAGTTCAGCTCCGTCATCGCTTGAGCAAATTGACAGACAGCTGTTTTAAACAATGACGTCCTCGAGTAGAAGCGAGCGCTATTTTAATATTTAGGTGGTCCTTACACCAACAACTTATGGAGAACGTCAAGTGGGTGCTCCTGAGGATCCTTTTTGACTTACTGTCAGTCATCCCCAGTAATGTTTACGGTTTCGAAATATTTTTGCAGTCATAGCGGTAGCTGTTGCTGTCCATAATTTGCAGCCATTTCATCGTGGTTATTTCCAAAACGATGAAAGCCTGATGTATCCTTACATGTCGTCCACGGTTACAAGCGCTATGCTGTTTACTGTTGGACCTATTGTCACAATTTTTATTGTAAGTTCCCTGAAGTTTTAATCCGGCAGATTACTGTAACCGAGCTTGTTAGGGCATTCCAAATTGGCTTTGGGACAAAGTATCGGGATATTCCTTTAGTAAGTTTTTTTATCGGTAACTTACCTTTAGGTCTTTCTCTGCCTTTACAAATTTTATTTTCTCTTTGGATTTGGATACGCCACAACAGCGCTGTTCGTGCAAGTTGGCAAGATTGTAATCGGACGATTGAGACCTCATTTCTTCGCCGTCTGCCGTCCAAACATTATTAGTCAGACGACATATGCCTACGTGTATAATTTCTCATGCTCAGGTACGGATGCTGAACAACTACACGAAATGAGGTAATTTTTTCCTGAAGATTCTGTCCTAATTTACTTTGCGTTATCTATTGATGCCCTGAATGATTATAGCACAATATTTATGACGAAAACCTAGTCAGCTACCTGATAATTTTAACTAATATTATCCAGAAGTCATTATTAGAACCTGTGCTATATTACTCTGTTAGGCATTGCACTGACTCAAGGATCACTAAACTTTGGTACCGTAAAGTTATGTCGATGTTCCGATCAAAGCATATTACTTACCTGGAAAGCGGGACACTTCTAAGTGTTTTGGTTCTTTTCTGCGAAAATCGGCATATATCCGATAAGATAGCTGGTCGTCGACATGCTCGAAGGTGACCTTTATACCATCTTGTACGATAGAAGCAGTAACGCCAAGACGGAGAAGTTGGATTCTGAAAAGACAAGGGAAAAAATCGAAGCTGCTGGAAACCAACTCGTGTTTCAATGGCGTGAAGCACAGGTTCGGTTTGTGAACTATTCCCGTCATTTGACACGGTGCTGACATTTACAATTTCCGCGAATTCGCGACAAGGACCATGGTCGATCCACATATGAACAAGATCTTTCTGGAGAGGATTATAAGCGCATTCCTGACTGGCAATGTTACTTTCATCTGCAAACATAACGCAGTTGTTTGTTATTGGCAGATCGTTGGAGTATATGAAAAAGAGCCACGACCCCATACAGACACATGGGACTCATTATCCACATTTGAAGTCTTGTTGAGATCCAGAAGCGGAATTTGGACCCTTTTTACGAATTATTAGGGTAAGGGATTTTGCGCTGCCTGATCGTCGCTTGAGAAGGCCACGCAGACCTGAGATAGTACATTTTTGTCAGCCAAAGAGCGGCCACAATTTTACGCCCAGTCAACTAGATCTAGTCTGAGATGGAGGAGCGACTATTGCCGTCAGACATTTCGCGTTGACACAATTTTGCCCAAATTCTCTGATATAAAGCATCGAGCTGATTGGAAACTATATAACATCATCGTATTCACACCCAATGACGGTTATGCGTTCCCATCAGATCTTGGGAGTAACAGACATGGAGAACTGCATTAAAGCCTTACACAACAATTTTTGAGGTCTCTTTTGCAGCAACGATATCCTTAGACGGTCATCGTGTTTGTGTTCAGATGTTTCAAACATAAAAACGTTGCCCCGGAAAATCCGCGTCTACATTTACCTATCAGAATGAAGGCTGAAGTAGACTTCACGTGATTAGCGTTCACGCTGATTTATCCCTTGCTACAACAGAAAAGTGCAACTGGGGTCGTCTTGTCGGCTTTTCCAAGCTGACTTACGCATGAAAAATCCCAATGAAAGTGCCAAAAGTGGCTAAATTATCAAACGAGGCTCCATTTCCCCATAGCACATCTAGGGTTGCTTTAGTAGCCCCTGAATAAGGTTTAAACAGAGCATATTCTGAATGGTCAATGTTAAGGTACATGAACCTATGATTGAGAAATAGAGCAGAATACTACGCGGTCATCTCGCTGAAGCTGATGTATTTCGATTCAACTATACTTATTACCTTTCGGACTGAGTCTGTAAAACATCATTCCGAGCGACATACTTCGTGTTAGCGCATTGATTTCTAAGAAGAATAAAAGCCAAAATTTCAAAATTGGATCATCTACCAGAAAGCACACGAAGGAATCTGGGGGATATACTGATAAGCCGGGGCCCCCGCGTCCCTGTCGCTCAGCGGTAGAATATCGGCGAAGCACTAGTGTCTGGGTTTTTAGGTAGTTCCTGGCTGCCGGTATGTAAATCATGCAGTTTGTTCCTCAGATTCCTTAATGAGCTGAAAGCTGTCTCTTTTGGCCATCCGCCACTACGTTCTTATCTTAATTAAGTGCCTGCAAACTCACACCTTTGACATACGCGTAAAGATTCTCACAAAATCTAATAAGTGGATTGGAAACTCCGATTTAGAAAGTTTTCATTAAAAAGCAGTTAGTGGTCCTACTCTAGCAAGTGTGTGAATGGGATGGTAAGTTAACTGATAAACTCCTAATATATAAAAAGGCGAAAGTCTTTTAACTAATTGATGCAAACTCGCTTGTCACGATCCGATGGTTCAGGACCTTACTGCCTCGGGAACACCATGAGAGAGTCAAGGTCTTTTCCATGTGATAAAGCCATCACAGTGACATTAAGTAAACGCACTGAGCACCCAAACTGACCTTATTCCTTTCTTGCCTCTTGCAGATTGTCTTTTCCGTCTGGTCATTCTGCTTATTCAATGTTCCCAGCAATTTTCATTTGCGTGAGTGCTTCACATGTTACTTTTTTACTGCATTTTACCGCACATCAATTCCCTTATTACCGGTGTTTTTTTCAAGTAGATTTGTTGATGCAGTGTAGACCATAGATTTGCACCATCTCTGAAGCCGGGCATGATGGCATCATAGCATCCGAAGGTCTACTCTGTTTCCTATTTTAAAAACAGCCTTCGATTTAGTTGCCAATCTAGAATTATCGAACAACCCCTCTGACATTGGGATGCCCCAAAGTTTCCAGGAGTCATGTGTGTGTCACGCGCAGACGATGCCACCAGATATGTCAGCTAATGCGTTTGTTCCCGGCGTCAGACAAGTGATCGGCTCGTACAGTGGTGGGGACCTGGGAGTGGGAATAGGGAGTGAGGCCGACACCTCAGCAGGTTTTCCTCTTTTTAAATAATCTGACGCGCTGGAAGATATCACGAAGCGCTAAAAGCCGTGGCTCGAGAGTTTACCAACTGAAGGGATAATCCGGTCCTCATGGTCACTCCTGTGTGTGCATGTGCGTCGACCGGTGGACTGAGGGTCAGACCCAGTGGTTCTTTCATAACGGCACTCCCACTCAGATGGAATCTGAACCGCTCCTTTTATGTGAAAACCGGATGTGTGTGTGGCACGCGTAGACGGGTTGTTTAGCTTTGTGAGAGCCCGCGCCCGAGTTCGCTTCCGGTCGTTATGACCCAGTCTTGCCACCTTGCCCCGGAGGATGCGGGAGAAGGGGGGACGGCAGATGGCGCGCAAGTCTGTCATCGTTATACACCGATTAACGCGCAAGCCGTCATTCTTACGCCCACCGCGCTGTGGGACACACAGTGGGCAACGTCGTTCGGGACGGTCGAACTGAACTGTCTTGTCGGGTTCCTATGCATAGTCTGACGGCGTTTTGCTCTCATGAGTCGTATGAGCTAACCAGTTATCAATTAGCTCCTCACACTTTCGGATTGCAGCTAATGATTATGTAGCATATAGTATGCAATGGGTAGTCAATTCAGAGTTTGTAAATTTGTCTTGAGAAGTTTTGCTAACTGAGGTTTCCCCAGAAACATCAACCTGTCATAATTATTTGCCACTAACCAATAACCGACTGACCCGATGTCTGCCTGTTCGTCCCATGAGAACCTGAACAGGGATACCACCGAGGGTAGGACGTGCACTGCCATACGTTAGGGACCGCTGAACCCACAGCTACAGGAGTAGGTTTTGGAATTGCACACCGGCACAAAAGCTACCATTCACAGCATGGTCATGAAAATCAAGGACTGATTATGCTTCAGAGAGCAGTTTGGTGTAGTGTATTATATCCAGTAACAAGACTGTCTTCATAACTACACACGTCGGACTTAACGCATGCTCGGGCTGCGTATACACGAACATAAAGTGGCGTTGACGAAGTGACGAATTATCACGAGTGGCTGCCCGTACCTTCTAAAAGGATGACGAGTTCAACTTCACAGTCGCCAAGATATTTGTCCAGGCCGGAAGAAAGACGAGTGGGAAATCTATTGAAGCTTAGGTCTCGGATGAGAGCTCGGTCGATCGGCCTACTGATCTGCCGCCCGCATACAGAGCCCTGCGCAGTCACCTCCGGGCCTGCGTCATTCGCTGCTGATCGGCTGATGACCTCTGTAACCCACTTGCTCTGTTGCTGCCGTCATATGTGGCAATGGACTCCCGTAGGCGTCCGAAAGCTCAGGAAAATAAATAAATGGTTCCGAGGCTAGGTCAGTATCCATATTTATTCGCAAATCGAACGTTCGCCTCCACTCATAAGAAGTCTGCCTTTACTCGACGAAGTAATTCACAGGATGCAAATTCTACAACTTGCGAATGCAGCTCATTAGACAAGACAAGATGTGCTGTAGGCATTGTATTTGAAAGAGACACACATTTCTTTGTTGACGTGAAAAAGCTTCACTCATAAATGCACTTTTGCTCGAAGTTCCGTATTTGGACTCAAATCCGTCGCCAGAGACGACTGTCCTAACGTCGGACAGGTCTCGCGTACGTCACCACCAAGTATGGTCACCGGGCCACCGCGTCACATTAGCTGTCATCGCTTTTCGAGTTCATGTTGTGTGCAGGTGCTAGAATTAAGTGTAAATCCAAGAAGTAGAACGAATTTTCCCCGTGTTTACTCGAATCCGCCTTATACCTCCGAATGTCTCCTCACAGGTGTATCCAGGCTGTATCTAGCACTTCCCGGAAACAGATACAATGTACTATGCCCTAAAATTGACAGTATCTAAACTACGAGTATACCTTCCTTTGAATTTTGAATTCCCCAAGCGTGTTCTCACTCCTAACGGCGATAATAAATAAAATTAAGTCAGTCATTTCACTTTCGTAGTCATCTAAAACTAGCTGCAAGATAGATGCAACTTAAATTAATCTTATTTCAGATGGACTCACCATTGACGTTTCAAGAGGTTCTCAATGGAAAGCTCGCGTGTTAAATGTTGTTTCGGACATTTTAGCCTTGCAACCCCACTAAATTGATTCCTTCATTTCAAACTACAGGGCAAATGTTCACCTTATGTTTCCGTACCGTCAGGGTGCTGTTGAGTTTTTTTTGCCGAAATGCTGTCTTGACGTTTTAGGACTTTTTGTGTTGCAAGACACTGCCATAGAAGCAGCTGCTTTTCTTCCCATATAAAAACCATTTTTCACGAAAAGGTAGGTGGCTTGCGAGTCACTCCACCACACAAAAATATAATCACTTTGGGGTAGGACAAGGGAATAGGTAGCCTTGTGCCAAATTCCAGGGGTATCTGGGTTAGGGTTAAGGTAGGGTCCGGGTCGAGTTTAGGGTTAGGATTAAGGTACCCTTCATTGAATTAAACGCTCAGCTACCTGTATTACGGGGAAGGCGTTTCTTTCTCCGTGTCCAGCCCATTATTTTTCCAATTGGTTTTTCATCTTTGTCGTATAAAGTTCAGAATACTGAAATTCGTTCCGTGCAGGGAAAATGATCCCATGTAAATTGCCTTCATTTTACGCTTTTCAGGCAGCCTTTTTACGGCACCTTCTCCACTTGAAATTCTTAGCACGTTTGACTCCAGCACGTGAATATCTCTCCTTGTGGTAGGGGGCGCTCACCGATGGTTCTTACGGAACTCACTCGTTCCGTCGTGTCCTTAGACTGCCTAATTGTCGCGGGTTTCGTGACATTTATCTGACGGACTGTACATCTGAGTAACTGCATCATGCCTTTGACCATATGAAGAGTTGTTTGGCCCTGCTGTCATCATGTCTCAGGCCTGTTCTTCACGTCAAATCGCACAGAATTTTCCAGCATAGTTTGCTATCGGTTACCGGCCACCGTAATCGTATTGCCTTCTTCAATCTGAAGAATGTAGGGCCCGATTATCAAACCTTGACACTGAGTGGGTGCTGTTTTTGTCTGTGGATGACCCTTACATCATTCGTGCCCAAAAATCTAGCCTTCTGCTTTTCCTCTGATCCATTCGGAGAAAAGTACACTTCGTCATCCATAAGCAGATTAAGAGATCAGCTATAGTCTTATTTGGACTTGCGTTGAATCCCAAGTACATAGTTTATTCGTTGCCTTATTTAGTGTAGGAATTGCACTTTGCATGGATACATATACGAATGGATCTGCTGCACTGAAACGAAGTTCACGAGGTTCCAAGCTTGCGAGAGCGTCTCCGAGCAGACGTTTCCCGGCTCTCCCTGTATTCTTTGTTGCACACTTTCGGAATATTCTAGCGTACGCACTGAAACTGATCGCCCCCGGCTTGTGGCAGATAACTGACAAACCCCTGTTTCTAAAGACGCGAAATCACGTGGTGTGTCGTTGCGTCCGTGGGCGGATTCCTGCCGCGATAATAACGTATGTGTGCTCTCTACGTTAGAAGGATGCAGTGGTGATTTTCGAAGTGAAACGCAGTGATTTCTGCGCGTTGCTCGCTTGTGAATTTTCCTGCAACAGGAAACAGCTTTTCAAATCCAAAACCAGAGCCAAACAGGTTAATAGGAGTAAGGATGTTGAATTTTTAGTCGGGGAAACTACTTGTGCTCCACCCTGTATTCACGCCACTTGTCTGGCCGGTATAAGAGTCTTCTGCGTTGATCGCTGTTTTTTTTTCATCGAAAGCGCATGTTGTAAGAGCTTCATTCCATGTATTCATTAGTTTGGGGCCGAAAATCTTGTCAGCATACTCACAGCACAGGTAATTCGTCCTGCGGTTCCGATGACCATCGCCAGTGCCCTCTAGGCACCTTGGTTATTAATGTGTGCAGTGGTTCAAGGTGAAGGGCACTGGCTTTGCCACTGCTTCACTCCCATCCTATACTCAAAATATTCCGATTGGAAAGATGACTGGAGATGAATGTGGAAATGGTCGCCATGGCACACGTTTGTTGCCATGCGCTTTTGCACGAACCGGACGATGAACTTGTTATCGCATCAGTTGGCGGCGACGCCTGTCGTGGGTCTGTTATACGCAGGAATTAAAGGCGGGGTCGACTACACCTCCTCTCTCTCCACTCATGTGCCAGTGAAAGCTGAAATCACACGGATTGAACGTGAGCTCATCTACGCGTACCAAACACGTGCTGGTCTCCTGTTTCACACGAACCGGGCTTTGCCAGCTCGGATATCAGTGATGTCAGTTGTTGTAGAGACCGTTTCAGTCGGGCCATCTGTGCAGGACGGCTTCGCTAGTAGACAGCTTTCTAAGTCACGACTTTTACCTCATCCTGTTAACCAAAAGTGCGTTAGATAGATGTGTGCAAAGAGAGTACACAGAGGACCAGCATCGGTTCCTCTTCCCTTTCCTATTACCCACTGTTTGCAACTCCAAGCCATGTTGACTGGGACCGCATTCCGGGGCTGCAGCCGACATAACCTACATCCCCGTGAGGTCCCTTTTAGGGCCTCAGAGTGCAACGTAATCCGCACCAATTTTCTCCCGCGGCGTTAAACAACCGCACTTGTTGAGACCGCCAGTGTTCTTCTAGCGTCTTTCTGGTATTGCCCCAGCTGACCTAGACAGAGTTGTATTTTGTTTATAAATATTTGCTGAAGGAACGGGGACAAAGTCCTCAGTCCATGTCAACGCTTATGGCAAACTGCCATAAACACTGAAGCAATTAGCAAAGTAGACAAGATAAAAGTCCACTTTAGTTTTCTTAAAGGCACGGTAGCGATAGCTGGCCATGCATGGAAGGGCGCAACGACCTTCTCGCGTGCAATGTTCAATCGGACCGCTTGCGAGTAATATACGCCACCTTTCAACCACTTTATTGCACTCACACGCTTGCCTACCGTCCGTCTCACGCAATGCGAAAGTCATCGGCTGCTATGTGACTGAGATGTCCCCGAAGTCGGCTGTAAACTTTGTAGGACTCACTGGAGTATTGTCTAGAATGCCTGACAGCATGTCTTTAAGTAGCGATAAGCAATACTGCAAAACATGGAACGTAATACCATACCCGCACATTGTCTTTACTTAAAATTATTGTTAGCTATATTCGGTAGGCTGGCTGTTTCTTTTGGGTGTTCCGGCCAAGTGGACACCTTCCCAAAAAGACAAGGTCTCCTTGTTTTTGTTGTTTGATAGAACATATATCTCTTCTCACAAGTGTCCTTTAAGACCGTAGAATTTCCACGTGCTTGTGTACCCAATTAATCACAGGTTTGTGGTTTAACGCATTACACCTTTGCTTGTGTTTTGAAGCTTCCGACCTGTTTGCCCCGCATTATTTTTCATGCTGCAATGTGAAGACATTCCCAGGCTTGTCGAATACCAGAAGATTCCCAGGGTAATTAGATACTTATGTAGACCTGCAGAGATGAGCCACCAACGCACATTCAAGCTGTCGTCCCAAAAGATATCGGAAATCCACTTTTTCCAGAATGAAACATTGTTTTCCTACAAGCTTTGACAGTAGAAGGCATGCTTTTGTTTAACTACTTCTGCGAAAACATATTGCATAGCCGCAAACGACAGTTTAAAAATGTAATTGGTAAATTTTCGGAAGTGAATTTTACAGTGGGAGCTGCGAAGGTTCTAACTGAAAATTCAACATGTCGGTGCGTGACCGTAGGCCTCAGATTCCATTCTGCCCATCTCATTATTGAAACTTCACCGAAGTAACCCACCCGTTACCAAAGTAACTATATCAAGCACTTCGCTTTTGCGGAGATTCAGCATACACCTCAGGCGATAGCACTCTTCCTCTCTCTCTCACACACACAATCCCCTCACCGTACTGCGTTACCTACGTTTACTTGCAAGTCCGTTTGTGCCGTGGAGGGGGCGTGAGTCCACCGTTGCGATCTTCCGCACGCAAGGACGTACGGGGGTTGCTCTAGGCATGCCTGTTTGCTGCGGCGCACGCCTGTCATACATTCCGTTTTAATGGTTTGCGTGGGTGGTTCACGCGACACACACGACAGTTCGTCCGTCGATTTCGACGATGACCACCGTGTGCCCCACAGCTGCAGCAGCGGTGGGAGCAGGGACGGTGACTTGCGCAGGGGTTTATAGTGCCGGTAGACTTGCGTAGCATCTACCTACACTCTCTCCTCCTCCCCCGCCTGGGCCCGGTGTCAAGACAGAGTCAAGAAGACCGGAGACGAGGGAGGCCGCAGGTGGATGGCTCGGACGGATCCTCACCTTGGCGTTCCACCACACCCCCTGGTCCACACAACAATAACCAGGATTTCAACCAACACAACAGAGATTTGGAGGCTGGCACGGCCGAAGCCGCACCTGGGCGTGCCGCCAACGCCTGGCTCGGATCCCACACTGTGGTGGGAATGCCATAAAGGCCACATTAAAAAGGAGCCATTGCAGCCTGACTCTCAGACCGCCTCCCGTTAAGGAGGAGGTCCAAGGTACCCCGTCAGTTGGCAACCTTCCAAGCCACGGCTTTTAGCGCACCGTGATAGCTTCAAGCGCGTCAGATTGATTATAGTGAGGAAAATGCGCTGAGTCGTCGACCTCACTCTCCCTTCCCATTCCCACACCCCAGCCACTGTCCGAGCCGGTCAGTAGACTGGAGTGGGGAATGGGCGCGGTGGCTGACATGGTCGACTGACCATGCCTGCGCGCGCCACAGCACGACCTGGCCCCCCCATACACACAAACACCAGGATTTCACACAACGGGGGCAGAACGGCGTGTCTCCCACTTGCGTGAGAGGGCCGTGGAAGGTGCTGCTTCAGCCCGTCCCCAGCCCACCATTCCGCCACTACACACAGCACACACACACAGCGTGACGAACTGCGTGAACCGAGAGCGGGCCTCAATCAGCAACCTTCCTATCCACGACGCTTGACGTGTCGGGATAGTCTCGGACACAAGTCACCCGTGCAGCCGAAGCCGCATGGGGACCGAGTCGAGATGCACACTTCCCACTTGCGTGGGAGGCGGCAGTGGAGTGCATGAGGTGTGTGAGGGTTGATGTCTGGTGGGGTGATGGTGTTAGGAGGTAGGGAGTGAGGGAATGTGTGGTGTGACCGGCGGTTGTCTACCGCAGGTCGTCGTGGATGCGCATGTGGCCGAATAGACCCATGCGATGCGTGAAGGTGCGAGGGCAGTGTGGGCAGTGGAGGCGAGTGCGGTGGGTGTAGGTTGGTGCTCCAGGCACTGGTTCGCCAGTCTCTGTGCGATGGATTCGCAAGTGACCGACCAGGCCGATGCGTGACGTGAAGGTGCGTGGGCAATGTGGGCATGAGAGGTTGGCGGTGTCGGTGTCAGCTGTAGAGGAAGCAGTGGTGTTGGTGGTGGCGGTGGTGGTGGTCGGCGCGTGTGATGGTGGGGCGAGGATGGGTCTGGGCGTGTTGGATGTCGTGGCTGTATCGGAATTGCGGTCAATGCCGCTCTCGTGGATGCGCATGTGGCCGAATAGACCCATGCGATGCGTGAAGGTGCGAGGGCAGTGTGGGCAGTGGAGGCGAGTGCGGTGGGTGTAGGTTGGTGNCAGTGAGGGCAGATGTAGCCCTGGCCCTCACGTCGGATGATGGAGGTTGCAGGGGTTGTGCCTGTTGTTGTGTCAGGTTCGGCTGCGGTGAGGTCGTGGGCGACAGACGCCGAAGCGGCCGTCGTTGTGGCAGTGAAGGAGGAAGAGGAGGAGGAAGGGGAGGAGTGGGGGGTGGTAAGGTCGGTGGCGTCGATGTCGGCTGTGGAGTGGTTAGTGGGTGCACAAGGTGGTGGATTGGGAGTGGGACTCGGCGGGGTGGATGTGTCAAGGCTGCGGTCAATTCCGCTCTCGTGGATGCGCATGTGACCGAATAGACCCATGCGATGAGTGAAGGTGCGAGGGCAGTGTGGGCAGTGGAGGCGAGTGCGGTGGGTGTAGGTTGGTGCTCCAGGCACTGGTTCACCAGTCTCTGTGCGATGGATTCGCAAGTGACCGACCAGGCCGATGCGAGAGGTGAAGGTGCGGTCACAGTGAGGGCAGGTGTAGTCCTGATCCTCATCACTGGAATCGGGAGAGGTGGGAGAGGTGATGTTGGTTGGTGTGTTGGTGTTGGTGATGTGTGAGACAGCAGTCTGAACGGCCGCCGCTGGGGCAGTAGAGAGGGAGGAGGACGACGAGGACGAGGAGGATGGAATTGGTGGTGCAGAAGGAGTGTCAGAGTTAGTTGGCGGAAGAGAGGAGGAAGAGGCGGGCGGGGGGACGATGGCTGGAGCAGTTCGAGAGGTGCAGTTGGTTCGGAGATGTCCAACAAGTCCGATTCGTGCCCGGAATGTCCGTTGACATCGAGGACACGTTGGGAGAGGTTGTGCGGCGGCGTTGCGGACTGGGNCACGGCCAGCCTACAGACAGCGTGGTTCCCAGCGATCTTTAGGGCACCTTTTCTAGCCCCCTCCCCCTCGCGGGGGCAGGCAACGCATCCCTGAACAGGGCTGCCCGGTTATCCCAGACGGCTGCCGGACTCCACTATGGGTCACGACTTTTTGTTAGTGAGAGAACGACCCGAATTAGCCTGGGACCTTGGTGGTGAGGTGATGATGTGATGGAGTGAAGTAGGAGAGAGCATGCACACTACCTAACGCTATGGGACTTAGAACTAGAGTGGACAAGCGGACACAGTCACCAGTCAGAGAAAAAGTGAGGGCACCACAGAAAGTCAAGCACCGTAACACCTAGCTATTAGTAGAGAGTAGCATAGACTGACGGACAGACAGTCGCAGCAGGCATCGAGGGTGTCGTTTAGCTATTAACAGACAGACTAGCATATAAAGGGCAGGCAGCAAGCGCAGCGTACGACGCGGAACTTCAACAAACAAAAGGAAGAAACGAAGCAAGCGCACTTACCTGAGGGGAAACTTACCTGGTGGCCGCCTGCGATGGTCCAGGCAGAGCCTCGTCTCGACGATGTCGACGCGAAGATCCATCCGGCCAGCGCAGACCACAGTACCGCGCGTGCAGGTGCACGCACGGATACCCTCACCTGGTTTAGCCCGCCGGTCGAGACGGTTGCCCGGGGTGTGGCCGCTGAGCAGAGCCCAGCTACGTGGAGCCACAGGTGAGAGTTAGGTGCCAGCAAATGGACGCTAGGCGTAGTCTCACCTGCAAGCAAGTGAGCGACCACTACGACCATCACGTGGACCCACCGCTGACACCCCTACACCCCCGCGACACACATACACACACAAACACTCACACGTACCTGGTTAGAGAATTTGTCGTACGGTCGCGTGCCTTAGCAGCGCACATAAGCGGGTTAATTTAATTCTTATATTAGCATGTGTGTGTGTGTGTTGTGCCCCCCAAACGGGCCACGTCTTCGATGTACTGGACAACACGGAGGCCATATCAGATTCTGGCAGGCGTTATCGGAATGCTCACTATATCAAATGCCAACTTTTCGGGAGGGGGAGGGGGCTGCGATGGCTGACCGAATTGCCGGCATTGGTGGCGCACATTGTTGTTGGTTGAAATCTTGGTCATTTGCTGTGTTTACCAGGGAGTGCGGAGTGGGACGCCAAGGTGCGGGCTCGACTGTGCAAACCGCCTGAGCCATCCCCGCCACAGGTCTTCTTGGCTCTGTCTTGACACGGGGGTCCAGGTGGGGAGGGGAGAGTGCGGCAGGCGCTTCGCAAGTGCACTGTTACTATAAACTAATCCACGCATTAGTCACCATGCCTGCTGCACTTTGCCGTGTATCGGACGGTGGACGTCGCCGGAAATGACGATCAAACCGTCGTGTGTGTATAGGTGTAAGCTGTGACAGTAGGATACGAAGACTGTTCTGCGTCCTCTTCCACCTTCATCGTGTCCTCGACCGTCAGCTTGGTGTCTGAGGTCTAAGAGGCTTTACGTGTTACGTGATATGATATGCTTGAACCTCGGGCCGTTGTTATAGCTCCTCTCGAACACCGTTGACCCTGGACAAATCCAACTGAACAGCGCAGGTGTTAGACCTCCAAATGGGGAAAAAATCGACCAAACATTGGCCAGCGAGGTGACCGTTGTGTGTTAGAACGGCCTGACGGAGGCATAGTCCCCTGTAGCTCCTGTATTCGAAACCGGACATCACCGCCCTCTCATCCGGCATATTCGAAATTCCAGCATTGTGCAGTGGATAAGGCATTATTGAATGGCTAACAGCATTCATCATGTCGTACTACTGTTGTGCCTTGTGACTTCTGTATGACACTCCCTTCATCAGACTGGTCCCCGGCCACGCCTCCGCGTGGTCGTTTACTGCATATTTTTGGGCCCCCTTTTTCGTGACCAATCTTCGACTAGGATCGCTCTGCTGTTCGCCGTCCACTGTCCTGGCGGCCGAGCTAACGCACGTGCTCAATTTTCCCATACATTCTGACCCCAGTTAATTTGCGTGTTATGACTCCGCTCTCAGTGTTTTCTGTAGATATGATTGGTTTGCTAGTACCCGCGTTTTACGATGCTGCTCGTCTGAACTGATCCGGCCAACATTATGCGGCAGTCTAACAGTATCTCCAATGCCCTCCTTTTTGCAGTTTGTCAGTGTCCCTTGATGTTCCCGTGCCGCATTGCTTCTTTAGATTGCCACCTCTCAGAAGAATCTGTTCTTAAAATCTAAAATCAGTCATTGATGCATGTGAGAAGGCAAGTTTCTGGGAGAGGACATTTTACACCCTTACATTAGAGGCAGAAATAGATGAATATGCAGAATGGTATTACCGACAAAGACGAGAGAGACTGAAATGGCCATTTCTGTCTTATTAGACGTCGTTGGCCAGTGGTCCCCAACCCCGAAGTGTGGAACACCCGAGGCTCGAACTCGCGACCTGGTAATTAGAAGTCCAACGCCTCTAACCACTGGGCCCCGGGCACACTGTCGTGTCGGTTGCGATCGGGAATATAAAATGGTAGCGAGGGGCTCACCGATCGTTTCTACGGAATTCACTCGTCCCGTTGTGCCTTTAGGCTCTCTCTCGAGTCCAACAAAGGCACAACGGGACGAGTGAGTTCCCGGCGAGCGCCCCTCTACCTGAGATGAATTCTGTAGGCACATAGCGGGACGCAACACTTAGAGGAAGTGGCTGTTGTGCTTCCTCAGGCCCAGTAATAGTCAGCCCACGCCGGAATCACTGATTTCAATGTGGTGGGCAGAAATTACAAGAAATGATGGGAAGATCAGAAATCAAATCTCCGTCTGAGCTAGCTGTTTGAGGCTCTGTACACTAAGGAAGTCCAGCCTCTTTTGATTCTAGAAGGCGCGTTTGACGAACACTGAGCCCAATGTTGCAGCTACAGTGACCTTTTGCTCGCCGCTTTACTTGATTGTGTCTCCCCTCTCCCCCGCCCTCCACAACCCACAGCTCTACCTCTACTACCGAATGCCGAGAATCGGAGTCGGCTCTGTCCTGCAGGCCTTCATACAAGTTACAGCCTTCTCTCTTGCCTTCTATGTCGGTCTGAGTCGGGTCTCTGATTACAAGCACCACTGGAGTGACGTCCTGGCCGGCATGATTATCGGCGCCGCGGTGGCCATCTTTACGGTGAGTTTAAACTGTCTGTTGGTACTTCGATTAGGTGATTCTCATGACCATCTCTTCGTGGGTCAACATTCGGGGTTTTGCGGCGGATTCAGCGCCAATTGGGATGCGAGCCGTTCCCCGTTTATTGTATGTAAAGTCCGGCTCAGTGTGCGTTGCACATCAGGGAGTGTGGTGGTACGCATAAGTACGGATTTTCGTTGTGTAGGTTACCTGCGCCCTCTCCCGCCTCCGGTATTCTTGACACTGTACTAACACCAAATCCAGCTGGGGGAGGCGGAGAGAGTACGGGGGATGCTGCTCAAGTCTGCTGTTACTGTAAAATAATCCACGCGCAACTCCCCACCCCTGCATTCATCCTGCTGCAGAGTACATGCTGTGAACATCGTCGATCACGACAGTGGAACTGTCGCGCGTGTGGATGTTCGGTTGCGTATATGTATTCTGGCCTGGTCTGCGTAGACGTTTACTTACGTGCGTGTAAAACCTTTGAAGGCAGGCGCTATGTCGGTCAGCGTGTCCAGTCTCACCAACTACTAGTTAACATGTCGGGAGACGGAGGGAGAATAAGGTTGTTGTTGAACAGGAATGCATCATTACGGCACCTGGTTCCTTCGTTATGTGACCTTTAGGATAGTTCACACTTCTGGCATCCGAACCTGTAAATGACACGCGTTAGACACCGGTTCCGCGCCATGTTGACCATGGCGTCGGTCTACCTGAGTCGAACAAGTTGTTTGTACCTGGGAGAGAAAAGATAGCGTGAGGTCGATACTGCGGAGAAGGACTTCATCCTTATGGCATATCAGTGCATTCCTCACTACAATGTGACCCGCTTGAACCTATCACGACATGCTAATGATCGTGGCTTATAACTCGTGTTCCTAAGGCCTGAAGGTCGGATTGTAATAGCCCACCCCCCTTCGGGGGGCGGTCTTTATGACACCCACCTGTGTGGCGTGCAAGATTCTCCTGAATGAAACCTAGCACACGTCGATGTTGGAACCGGGTCTTGTGTCGTGCGTGCAAATCGCCTGTTTGGTCTTGCCAGTCCCTCCGCCCACGCTCACCTCTGTTCCAGCTTAGTCTTGCAATGGGCACGCGATGCGTGTTGGGGAGGGAAGAGAGAGGGCGTGAAATAGGTGCAGCGAAAGTGCTCCACCGTGAAAATCTTTTCTGCAACCACATCGGGTAACGACAGTGATAAATCGGATTGACGATGACAATGTTAGTCTGGGTGTTTTAATAGTAATGTATTTAACGTCGGTTTTAATGCTATTGTACCTTACTTTTACCTCGAATTTATTATTCGATCCTTCCTATGAGGCCTGCCCTGGACAATCCTAACTACCTTAAAATTCGTGAAATCCTAAAATCGGCTCGCTGATATTCCTGATTGAAATTAATAATTTCTGTAGACAGAAGAAAAAATTTGACAACAGCTGGACAGTTCATATTGACCCAACTGTGAAAAACTCGGCGCCTCGGTGGGATTCGAACCCACACAATAAGGAGAAGGCTTTAGTACAGCCAACGGGTTAACGGACGGGTAAACTTGACCCAAATGTGATTAAACTCGAGTCGTCCGGCGGGGCCTCGTAGCTCAAGTGGTTAGAGCGTTGGCTGTGCTAATGCCTTCTCCTTACTGCGTGGGTTCGAATAAATTATTCAAAATCTGCCAAAATACCTATGAACAACTGGACAGTAGATACCCTCAGAATAAGACGTTCGCACTGCAAAGGCGAACTCAGTACTGCTGTTTTTCTCGGGATTCTGAGAGTTGTTTTCGATTGCAAGAGATTACTTAGACAGAGTGGTAATACTAGTCATAGTGCTGCGTAATCCTTAAATGTTTCGGCCACATCAGGGTGCCTTCTTTTGAGCGCGCCTTCCGACTACTCACCGAAACTACATTCTGTTAAAAATGGCTACTTTCTTAGCACGAATTTTCCCATTAACTTTCAAAGTCCTGATGAATTCAGATATTTAAAAAAGCATGCATGAAAATGTTCTTTTTGTGCTCATTTGGCGACGACTTGCTTCTTCTTCTTAAAATTTTATGCTTGACGAAAGAGTATCTTCCGGTTCTCAAGATCATTTTTGATCTCAAAAAAATTTGAACCCGACCTGCCGTTGCACCTACATTCAGGGTTTCCAAACTACAATCCGTATATATTCCACAGAGTTTTGCAGTGGATGTGAACCATGTTGTATACCTTACAAGCAGCATTAATGCACAGATACGATGTTTTATGAATGGACATTTCAGGGTCATAGTAATCTCAAAGTTTAAAACTTTTTAGAAACCCACTGATACTCTTTCCTCAAGTAAAATATTAGGAGAAAACGTAATTCTCTACCAAATGATTATAGGATAGAATATTTTCGAGCATGTTATTACTAAATATATTCAAATTTGTAGGGGCACAGAAAATCAAGGGAAAATTCCATACTACTGAAGTGGTCATTTTTTACAGCGTGGTTTTGGAAGACCCCTGTGAATAAGCCCCTTCGAAAGTCGACATCCTGACGTGACTGAAACATCTGCTGCACAGTAATTAGTGTTGAAATCCTAACTAGGTAGTATTTTGTAATCGAAAAATCATTTTAGAATGTCAGTTAACATTTTATGAGATACTTTACCTGCACAGACGTACGATAAATTAACTTCCAGAAGTGTGTCTTGCATATAGTTTGGTAAACGAAACTTAACATTTTCCTCTAATTCTGAAGTCGTTGGAAAGGCGAAAGTAAATTCTATGAAGGCGTGCTATGTCCATTCATATAACATTTCACTTGCATGTTAATTAATGCTCCTCCTGAAGCATCCATTGCAAGATTTTATAAACTCCACTCGGTATCTTCCCAAAGTCATATGATTTTTCTTACGTGGAAAGTATTCACCTTGTAGACTGGAATCGCTAAGCGTCGGTGCAACGGCCGATTGGGCTCAAAATTGCAACCAACCGAGCAAAAGAGAGCATTTTTCTTGCCTGTTCTATGAAATTTATTTTAATGTATGAGGCTATTGAGAATCAATGTGGAAAATGCATACTATTTAAGTAGCCGTTTTTACCGAATGCGGTCTTTCCAGGAGGTCCAAAAGAAGTGCATTTAAAAGCCAAATATCCTGGCAAGTCCGAAATATCACGGGATTATGCCTCATGATAATTAATATTACAACCCCACCTAAGTAGTCCTTCCTAATCGAATAGGTATCCAGTATTTCGGCCAACATTTCATGAGATCGGTCACTGAATGTGTTGTGAGGGTCTATGCTTGTTCTCTCCTATGCGCAATCTATACATTATTAGAAGACCAGTTTGCGAAAAGTAAACGTCTTCCAATCCAGTCTCTGGAAAGGAACGAACTGAACCCATTATAAGGCTCATTTCAGGCCGTTATACTCGTGAAAATATATAGTTTCTCTGAATACTCCCACGTCCCTTTCACTTGAACCGTTTATTGGCGTACTATTTACGCCTACTGACGGTTAACGTAGTCCCATGTATACCAGAGATTTCGGTTTGCGGATCACGTGAACACGTGTGCACTTACTCAAAGTCACTTCTAATGGTGTCCTCGCAGGCGACTAGTTTCATGAGCATCGTAAGTGGCGTAGCCGAAATTCTGAAGTGGGACCTAGGTTAAAAACCAAATCACATTTCAGCTATTTCACTTTCTCCAGAATGCGGCATTTGATTGCGTGTCTTTCCTGTCGTTTATTGTACTCGTTTTTTAAGCAGCTTTCGCCTTCTGCAAGGTTTATGCGCAAAAAGAATGATCTTCAGGTAAAAAGGCTTGACATTGTGGTATTTTTAAGATTGCGGAAGGTCTTCTCGACTATCATAGTGCCTGTCCGTTTATTGAATCCTTCGGCAAGATCTTATTTCGTAGCCGTACCTGTTAGGGGCTAGGGTTAGTGGTTATGGGTTGGGGTTAGGGTTAAACCCCCCATTACCACTGTCCCCGTATGACAGGCGGCTGGGGCTTGTCTACTACAGGTACGGCTACGAAATAAGATCCGACCGAACCTTATGGATTACACAACGTGGTCCATATTCATTGCAAGCTTTTATAAGTCCTGTATGATATCCTCGTATGACTTTTCCTAAGCGGAAAGTATACAGTTTGTAGTTTGCGAACCCTAGACGCTCGTGCGACGACGAGTCGGGTTCAGACCCATTTGGGAATTGAAAAATTTTTTAAAACTAAGATAACCTTGCCTCGAGTATTTAATCTGTTACTAAGTGAGTCCGACAGAACACATCCTTTTGTCCGTTTTCGGCAAAGTCTGTCTGGACTTATTAGGACATCGATAATCCGGCTGAACTAAATTATTCTACTTACAGTAAGTGACCGATCTCGTGAAATTTTGGCTGGAATTCTGAAATGTGTTTTCGATTGGGAAGAATTACTTAGGCGCGGTTGTAATTTTGATTATCTTGCGACATAATCCTATGCTATTTCGGAGTCGGCAGGATGTCAGCTTTTGAATGCACTGCTGTTTAATCTTTTGTAGAAACTGTACTTGGAAAGGAATGACTACTCAGGTAGCATGCATTTTTCGCATTGATTTTCAATGATCTTGCAAATTCAACCATATTTTATAGAAACCACGATCAAAAATATTCTTTCTTTCACTCGTTTGATAGAAAACCACGTCATCTTCATATTTAATACTCGAAGAAGGAGTATAATTAGGTTTTAAAAAGTTTTCTAAGTCCCGAATAATTTGGAGCCTGATCAGCCGTTGCATTAGCTCCTTGTGATTTCAGTGTACAAGGTGTATGCGCTCCGTGTAAAGAAAATAGCATATTCTTCTATGCCTTTTAAAAGATACCATATAGAGTCCATAAAATTTTGCAATGGATGCGGACCATGTACGTTTCATGAGAAGCAGTGGTAGACGGACAGGTACGATGCTGTATGAATGTACATTGCACGGTCTTAAAAATCTCATAATTAAAAACTCTTTTAAAACCTAATTATGCTCCTTCTTCGAGTATTAAATGTGAAGATGACGTGGTTTTCTATCAAACGAGTGAAAGAAAGAATATTTTGTATCGTGGTTTCTATAAAATATGGTTGAATTTGCAAGACCATTGAAAATCATTGTGAAAATGCATGCTACCTAGGTAGTAATTTCTTTCCAAGTACAGTTTGTACAATGCATTAAAAAGCAGTGCTTTCAGAAGCGGACATCCTGCCGAGTCCGAAATAGTATAGGATTATGTCGTGAGATAATCAACATAACAACCGCGCCTAAGTAATCCTTCCCAATTGAAAACGCATTTCAGAATTCGAGCCAACATTTCATGAGATCGGTCGCTCACTGTGTGTATTCATTTTTCAGTGAGTGTGATTTTTGCTGGCGGCCGGAAAGAAGCGCATTCAAATTCTAGAGCCACCTATCGTAACTGGGAAGGGATAAGACTCAACTATCGACCTGCGATTTTCCTAGGGGCCTCGAAAAATAATGACAAAGGGTTTTGTCAGCAGCCTAAGCCTTGCGTTTTCGTCACACACATTCCCTTCTCGACTATATCGTCTAACCTGCGTGCTTACTGCATTCAACCTGTTTTTCCCCATAGGTGGTCTTTGCATCCGATGTGAACGAGTTCGAATCCTTCGAGTCGTACGCCGACGAGCGTGAGCTGGTATCCCTGGTGAACCCTCGTCCAAAAGCCTCCGCTTCGAGCCCCTCGTAACTTCCATCCTTGAGCTGCCATCCACAGCGCTGGACCCTAAGCAATTGCCTCCTCCAATTTTCTCTCGTTTCCCCCTTCACCACAAGAGCCCCTGGATTTCTAGCCAACCAATCACTGTTGATCTAAGCTAACACTTCAACGTCACTATTTTAGCCTGAACAGTTACGTAATTGCTCATTCACATCGGTTGGTGCGGCGAATGTGCGTCATCATTTTACTGAGTGTTGTAAATTAATTTTTCTCTACATGTCCTGGTTCATCCGGACTGCTTGTCTACCCATTTTCCATGGTTTTTCTGAGTTTGCTGGCATCTTTTGCTACAATCACTGCCTTTCTTTAACGGGGCTTCTTTTTGCGTACCGCAATTTTGCTGTCGAGCGTTCTTACCCGTGTCTTTCTTCACCCCAATGGTCTACATAATTGGTCTTCTGTCCGGCATTCTGTACTTTTTTAACACTGTCCGATGATTTGGGTACACCTGTCTGGGGTGAATAAAAGAATGAATCGGATGTGGTTTGGTAGCCCCACTTGAAGCAAACAAACCCCAGTCACATCTAATACGAGACCGGTGGTGATAGGTTTTTTTGCAAGTGGGGCCGGGGACCGCAAAGGCGACGAGGTCAAGTAGTTGTATGCAAAAGAAAAGCTTTTGGAAATGCGCGGTTGTACTTTTAGTGGGTGAGAAATAGTTGCGCTAACCCTTAACCCTAATCCTAACTCTAACCACTAATTCTAAACTCTAACCACTAACCCTGACCTCTAACTCTAACCCCTAACCATAAACCCAAATCGTAGCCCCTAATCCTTAGCCACAACCACGGCAGTATTGTGTCGATCAGGTGGGGCTACCAAATCACATCTTGCCAAAGAATACACTCCATTTGGGTTCTGACTCGTGCATACGGCTAGGCACGGGAATATGCGTTTCCCCTGCACTGCAGATGGTTTTGGCCTAAATGTCAAGGTAGCTTAGGCTTAACGTTAGAATTAGGACGCAGGAATTGGTATCCCCCTAGAATTTAGACCGAGACCACGTGCAGTGCCGGGTGGGGGGGGGGAGTGGGGGGACAGCTCATATTTCCGTGTCCGAAAGCACACACGGTTGGCGCGTTCACAAAGTGAAGCCAAGTATATCGCCATGCTCGTTGGGAAGTGTTCAGGCCTGCCCCAACCATCTTCTACAATTGGCTATGGATCCGGTACACTGAGGGCACGTGACTATCTCAGTAGAGGCGTATACCGGCAGGACCCAGGAGACTGGTGTGAGACGGCGACTCCGGTTTCCGTGACAGTGTTCGATAATTAACTAATTGAATTAATGTAGTAAGCTTGTTCAGTTTATCAGCCGGTGCACACGGGCTCAAACTTCAAGCGCGGGACAGGAAGTGGCTTTTGTACTTTGGCGGGTCGGCCTACGGATACACTACTTTCGTAAGGTGTAATAGGGGATTTATACTGGGAGTTGCTTAATCAAGTGTTTTCCCCTCCCAGCGGCTGCATGAGAAGGGAGGAGACTGAACTTACAGTAAGATCAAATATTTACAAGGGAGGAACACGCATGCCATCTAATCTTTGATAACCGCGCCCAGTTATTGCAGGATTTTGGGGGAGCAGGCATAAACCTACTAGTGTATCGTTAGATTGCAACTCTCAATAGGAATCACTGAGTACTCGAAATGCAGTCATCGAGACAAGTTTTCCCGGGTCTGGGCTGACTTTCATTAGTTTGAAAGAGTTTAGCAGCTTTTTAGCTTCCCCTTGGTAATTTGGTGAACCATATTTTCCAAGGAATTTACTCAAAAGTGACGATGGAATAGGTAAGCCCACGTTTTCTTACGGTAACGTGCGTACTTATTTATACACAAGCATTATTTACGCCTGTTAGAGACTTGGGTTACGTTTCTGGCTAAGCTCAAGAGATTGACCAAATTTACGGTAAAGGTTAGGTCTAAGGTCTGGGATAGGGTTAAGCTTGCCTGCCGCACATCGACTTACCCAACCCGGCCTTTAACCAATAAGTTTGGATTATCTGGCTTTCGCATGTCTACACGCCGCCAGTTCGCGTCTTCGAAATAGCGCGGTCTGTTCTGACACCTCATTGAAATAGTTAAACAAAGAAACTGCAGAAACAGGGGCTTTCCCAGTGTCTTTCGTAAATTACTTTAAATGCTGCGTCCATCTGCTCTACTGACAATGTTTCAGAGGTCTTCGTAATCTAATTACTTAGCTGCCGTATATATTCATTTGCACGCGTTAATTCCTGACAAATTCGGATGTCTTTCATTTAAAATTGGGTAACATATACCATAAGCCAAACGGGAACACTGGGAACCGACCAACAAGATACGCGACGGAATAACAGAGAAACACACGTGCGGTCTCTTAATTAAGACTCAAGTTGGAAGTAAAACTGAACTAATTAATAATGGTTAGCACTCTTCAACTAGTTTTCCGTGGTTACCAGCGGCTCTTTTCGTTTTTTTTACAAATTAGGGAGAAATTGCGTCTTTTTCCAGACTAACTGTTCGGATGTCTGAGCTTCCTGGACCACGCAAGTAGACTTGGCCCCTAGTTTTTTTGGAAACAGACTTATTGTTGTTTATTTACAATGCCTCAACGTTACTTTTAGGACGCAGTTTTGATGTTATCCGTGAGCTTTTTTAATAGCATTTTGCGAACATCTCCTGAACCCACTTATGCTTGCTCAGACCTGGCAAAAGTGATGTCTCGTGAGCGGTGGTTATTGGATAACACTTATACTTGAACAACTGTCTTTCAACGTTTGCAATTATGCGTAATAAATTTCGGTAATAAAACGCACTATACGACGTAAGAAGAAAAGGACTATAAAAGTGCCCACATTTTTTCCACGCGGGTTACTTCGAAATTGGTATCAGCCCACACCGCATAAATTGCCCCTTTTCTCTGAGTGGGGTTGCTCCAGGCATCCGGTAGGGTTCCATTTGGAGCACAGAAATGCCACGATTGATAAACCAGTCAGAGCTCCTCTCTCTCCAAAACCCTAAATACCCCTCAGCTTCTTTTTAGTAGTCTTTTAAGGAACTGTAATCTGTGTTGTGGAACTTTGTCATTACATTGGCCCAGCCCATACCAAGCCCTCGATTTCGTGCCATAATTAACTGATAGTTGCTGTCTCACACTGAAAGATCCCGCACAACCTTCCCCCCAGCCTCAATCGAAACAGCAGAGCTCAGGCCAAATTAAGCAGGGATTCTCTGATAGTGCAAACCTCTCATAGGCTATGTTTAAAAGTTCACAAGAGGTTGCTCACACGTTTTGATCGGGCACCAAAAAAAAAAATCTGCAGTCAGACTAATCGGCAGAATAAATTTCGTTCTTCTTTCCTGCTGTGCGTGCAACACACTATCGATCTTAAATAAGCCAGTCACAATCGGATGCCGAAGTACGGCCTGAGTACCGACATACCTGGATAAAGCTGGCTTGTAGGTGTATTACGTCATACACCGCGCTCTTTCCCGGTAATTGCTGCCTTTTTAGCGTTCACACTCACGGCTATTTATCCACTTTAATCTTTGCAGGACTGGAAACAAAAAGCTTCGCCCAAATTGGCGTCTTTTATAAAAAAAGGAAGGCTAAAGCCAAGTGGCTTGCCCAGTTAGCCGGCCTGGGCTAACCGATTCGTTACATACCTGTGGTATCACGTTTTTTAATGATGGGTTTGGATGCATTAGTGCTGACTTGCTCACTCTTTCAGTCATTACCTTGTTGGGTGGGATTTAATCTTAACAGTACTTGTTCTATGCTGAAAAAGGTGTTTATCGACGGGGGCTACAGGGCTTACTCCTCCCGTTGTGTTTTGGGACTCGATTTAGAGTCCCGGAGGCGGTTACACAGCCACTAGTAATTTATGCAGAAAGAGATTGCTGACAAAGTCAAGGAAGACTGAAGTGACCATTTTCGACTTATTATTCGTCATTAGCCGGCCATACCCAACCCTGGGTTTACGACACCTAGGACCTTACCTGGGAATCTTTGAGTATTGAATCCAAGGTTCTTTTAATTAAATAACGGTTTCGCTATCCGGTCGGTTGCACTGTCTGCCTGGTCGTCGGCTTCCCGTTCGGGTAAACTTATTATTCATTCTACTCATTCCACTCAAGCATGTGTTTGGGTAATAAAACAGGACCCGGTAAGCCCATGAGAGGTCCTCGCGCTCTGCTAGTTGAAAGGGAATATGTAAACAGTGCCACTAGCATTGGTAATTCGACCTTGGACCTGCCCTGACCTAGAGTGTACGCCCCTTGAAAGTCCAAGGTTTGAACTGTTTTCTCTGTGTGCTTTGAGAGTTGACAACAGGGGTGGTCTCCGTTCTACCAGTCCGTAATCAAGCCTGAAGTTTTCATACTGCTACATGATGTATTTACAGTTATTATCATTGCAACAGACTGCAGGCAACTGATGAGGTCTGAGACAGCTGCGTGTGTCCGCCATTCACACCAAACGGGGAAAATCTGGCTTTTGCTGTTGATGATCACGAATTATCTATCTGAGGATGCTGGCCCGAGAGACCTTGGGTTACGTAAAAACGGTGTCTGCACATAACTCTGATTGTCGTCTCGATCGTCATATTTAGCAAGAATGTCACAACGGCTTTTGATAACTCCTAGGTGCACAGTAAACTACACGCAAAACCCCACTATTGTCCATTTGGTGATCAGTGTCTAGCGGATGCTCATCGTCTCCGTAACTCAATTCCGAATCCATTTGAGCATACGTCATGTCATGGTTTTGAACGACCTCTGACCCAAATACCTTATTCTAGGGAAGAGACCCAAGAAATGGTGTGCCTTCAGAATTGCACAACTTTTCTTCTTCTCTTTACATATCTCTTTTATATGCCTTTAAACATGAATCTGCAAGCTTTTCTTATAGGAAGTATTGACCTTTCGTTGATTGTCCAGGATGAATGTCAAAGTCACCATTTGAATGCAGTATTGTACAAAATGAAGGCTTGCATA